GGCCCGGCGCTGGGGGCGGGGGTGACTCTGGGCTCTGCCGCCCTCGCCCTGGGCTCCCGAAGGGTCGCGCGGCCTCCGCGGCCCCGGATTTTTCTTGCCCTGGGTCGCGCGGCTCGTTCGGGTGGCTCAGGCCGTCTCGAATCCTCCCCGAGCTGCCCTTTCTTGAGCGCCCACTGGGTGAGCCACATGCTGTCACCTTTATCATCGCTGATTCGCTGATCTCGATCGCTCCGCAGAGGAGACAGAGGCTCACAGAGGGGAAGTGACTCGCTCAAGGTCACACAGATGGGACTGACAGTGTCAGGACTGAACCAGAGGGCTGACTACAGAGCTGTGAATGTTTTCTTTTATTGAATGTCGCTGCGTCCTAGAGCCATACCAACTGGAGAGGAAGCAAGACCTCGACCCCCCAGTCCCCCCGCCCCCCAACGCTGCTAGACAAGAGGACCAGGCCTCTGGATTTGGGATGCTCTGTTCCCCAAAACCTCATAGAGGTGGTGGCAGGGGAGGAGGGACTTAAGATTCTTTCTCCTCCATCTTCATTCTCTCTTCTTCCATCTCCCCCCCCTCCTTTCCGCTTTCTTCCCCTTTCTTCTTGGAGATGTAATAGATGTAATTAACAAATCATTCAACTCATTCATTTAAAGTACACGATTCAGTGATTTTTAGTGTATTCGCAGAATCGCTGGACCATCGTACGATTTTAGGATATTTTCATCACCCCCAGCAGAGACCCTCATTCTCTCCTTCACCCCTCACCCCTGCATCTCTAGACATCCACGACTCAATCTACCTTCTGCCTCTACAGGTTTGCCTCTTCTGGACATTTCATACACGTGGAATCATATAACGTGTGGCCTTCCGTGACTGGCTTCTTTCACTTAGGGTGCTGTTTTCAAGATTCATCCATGGCGTAGCATGCATCATTGCACTGTTACTTTTTATGGCCGAATAATGTTCGCTTGTGTGGATAGACCATGTTTTGTTTCTACATTCAGCAGTTGATGGACATTTGGATCCTTCCTACCTTTTGGGTATTATGAATGACCGCCCCCCGCCCCCAGCCTGCTTTACCTAAAATCTGAAACTTTAGAGGCCTGGGGAGGACTCTTCTCTCCCCACCCCTATAATTAACCCTATCCTTCTCTGCAGGCTGGCTTCACGGCCATGCAACCTGCGCGTTGGCACAGGGCCTGAGCTTGGAAGGGT